AGCTCACCCAGTGTAGCAGACAGCAATGAATGGGACCAGTTCTCCTGCTCTCACACACCCGGGGCCAGCTCTACTGTTTTTCCCAGATGAGGTACAGGACCTACTCTCGGGACTCATGTACTTGGTGAGCAGCAGCGCCAGCATTTCCGTTCCTATGCCCGAGGCCACTCTCCCACCTGTCACAGGTGGCAAGAGGTGGGAGGGAGAAGGGCACATATCCCTTACCCTTGCTGCCCCATGGAGGGGACGGGGGCAATTCTGCTCTCACCCACAGGCCCGGCTCACCCGTGCACAACACCCCACACACACAACAGGGTCAACTAGTGTGCTAGCCCCGTGAGGTGCGGGCCCCCTCTCCCATGACGACGGAAGCAGTGCTGGAGAGCTCACCTAGGGGTGATGGCCAGGGAGAGCTGGCAGGCTGACCAACCCAGGTACCACCCAGGTCCAGAACCAGGAATACCAGTTGGCCCCTCCCAGCATCCACCTTGTCTAGGAACTGCTGGAGTGTGTGAAGGGGGCGGATCTGCAGATCCAAAGCTACAAGTCTGCACGACACAGAACAACAGGATATCTAGGAAGGGTCCCAGGGAGGGCCAGAACCAAGGGTGTAGCAGAAGTCTGAGATCTTGAACCAGACCAATGACATACTGCACGAACAAGTAAAGATGTATAGTCTAAAGGGAGTGCTGTGTGACTCACTGGGACACAGTACAGCTTCTACACTGAGATTGGAGGATGTTGTTTTTTTTTTTTTTTTTTTTTTTTAGCTTTTAAATTTTGCTTTGTGGGGGTGTTTGCAAGGGCAGAGGGCACAAGAGACAGGACAGGGAAATGAGTGGGGTCAGGATGCTTGATGCGAACTCCACAAAAAAATCTGTAAAAAGCTGTTTTTTAACAAAAAAGAAAAAAGAAAAGAAAAAATATCACTAGCCAGACACATTTCATAATGCAGCATCTGTATTCTCCCAGAAGATGCCTCCAATGGCTCCTTGGAACATAAGGGACCAAGAAGGTCGAGTTTGGGGAAGAACAGAGAAGGAGAGCAAAGAAAGAGATACTTTAATGGAGGATGCCATTATGGGGTTAAGGAGAAATCTGGCACTACGGAAATTCCCAGGAATCCACAAGGATGACCCCAACTAAGAATCTAAGCAATAGTGGAGAGGTTACCTTAAATGCCCTCCCCCTATGATGAGATTGATGACTACCTTAAATGTCATCACAGCCTTCATGCAGTAGCTAATGGAAGCAGAAGCAGAGATCCACAGCTAAGCACTGAGCAGAACTCCTGGAATCCAGTAGAGAGAGGAGTAGTGAGCAAAGGGGTCAAGACCAGGCTGGAGAAACACACAGAAACAGCTGACCTGAGCAAGTGGGATCTCACAAACTCCAGACTGGCATCTGGGGAACTTGCCCCCTGAACGTGAACCAGGCCCCCTGAACGTGGGTGTCAGTTGGGGGTTCTGGGCAATGGAACCAGTATTTATCCCTAGTGCACAAATGGACTTTGGGAGCCCATTCCCCATGGAGGGAAACTCCCCCAGCCTAGACACAAGGGGTCCTGCCCCAAATGATGTGACAGACTTTGATGATCCCCCATGGGAGGCTCACCCTCCCTGAGGAGTGGTTGGGGGATGGAATAGGGAGATGGTGGGGGAATGGGAGGGAAAGGGAACTGGGATTGGTATGCAAAATAAGATTTTTTTAATTTAAATAAAAATTAATTTAAAAAAAAAGAACTCAAGTTTGATTCTCAGAACCCACATCAAACTGCTCTCATCTGTCTGTAATTCCAGGTCCAGAGTGATCTGGTGTCCTCTTCCGGCCTCTTCAGGCACTGCACTCACTTGATAGACAGGCAAACATGGATAAGCTAATTATAAAAAAAGGCCTCACCAGGGCTCTCTAGCTCCAGTTGATACTGGCACATTTCCATCTAGCCTTTTCTACCCATGCACACACATTTTTCACAATCATGTTATAGACTCACAAGTTTTCAGAATGCCGACAGTTACAGCCCGCCACACTAGCCATAACAGGACAGCAACAGTTTCCATGATGCTGGAATCTTCAAAACTGTGGCTTCATGATGACGTGTTTTAGTGTAATTGGAATGACATCACCTGTTACATGTGTCCCATACAACATCACTAAGAATTATTTCAAACTGAGATGTTTTTTAATAGCACCATCGTGTTTAATATCAGCACAGTTGTGCTAATTAATGGCACTGCTTCTTTGCAGTGTGATGGAGTCCAGTGCCCGGAAAGCCCTTCCAAATGCTGGCCCTTGCTACTTCATGGCTGTGTGATGTTGGGCCAGTAGTAATGTCTACACCTCACTCTCCTCAATGACACAGGCAGAGGAACTGAGTTTTCCTCTGTGGAGTTGTGAATCAATGAAGGTGCACTAGTAAATGTTAGAAACATGTTAATGTAGTGATTATTTAACAGCATTGGACTGTGGGTCTTCGGGGCTATTTCCATGACTTCAGTACTTTAAACGTAGGAATTCCGTTTGTCACAAGTCTCTGCCCCGGTGCCTGGTTCTTACCTAGCATCTAGTGGAATTATTAGCTCGGATGATGTAAAGCTTTTAGAGTACTGATGGAGACCACTGAATTACTTCCCAAGGGAGCTCTGCTAATTGGCCTTCCCCCACACACTAACATAAAATCACCCTAGTCTGCTACCTCTGGCTACTGCTACATCATTGTTTCTGAGGAGGTTGAGACAAGTGGATCCTGGGGCTCACTCGCCAGCCAGCGTAGCTGTGAGTGAAGACCTTGTCTCCAAACACAAAGGATGGTAGAGCAACATCTGAGGTTTTTCTCTGGCTTCCATATGTGTACACACATGCTCACATACCTGCTCATACATGTGTACATACACACACACACACACACACACACACACACACACACAAAATGGGCTGGTGATACATACTACCATCCTCTGACCATTTAAACACATCAGGCCCTTAGCCTATATTCACTACATCCTTGGAGATCATTAAGGCCTCATCCCATGAGAGATAAATGCAGACATTCAGGGTTGCACAGAAATAAGCATAAGAACCGAGTCCCCACGCATGCTGACTTCTTCAGACTCTGTTTTTCTATCCCACTGGTGTGGGTGAGTTAGAGAAGGTCTCAGTTGCTTACTAGAACAGACCACAGCAGGCTGCTTCCTAGCACTCTATGGCCATACCATGCAGCTCTGACCATTCCCAGAAGCTGTGGCCAATGCCCGACTTCCGGAACCACACAGGCTGAGGGAACCTGAAAACCCACTAAGCCAGAATTCAAAGTCCATTCAGCCAACCAGCTCCTCAATAAACTTTAGCAATAGTGCTTATCTTTGAGGGCAAAGCAGAGCCCAAACCTGATAGACTCTTCTAGACTATATTCGAGGACTAAGTTCACAAGACCCCACCCAGCATGAATTAAGAGTGTCTGTACAATTCCTCTCCACCCACACTAATGCTCACTCATCTTGTCATACCTGCTACTTTACTGAAGCCTGTCCTCAAGATCACAATGGCAGCGGCCAAGCCAGTGGCCAGCAGCTAGGTTTTAGCTTTCATTTCTCTTCCCGGCAGCATTACCCCGTCCACCTCGACACATGCTCTTTAGCCCAGCACACCACATCCTTAGTTCTCCTCCCTGCCTGTTCCCCATCAGAATCTGCTGTTCTTTGGGTAGGATTTGTGTTCCCCGTTTATGTGCTGACCCCTCATCACATGTGGACCCTTGGGCCTCTTGAAATGCAAACAACATGAACCTATTTTCTTTATAGCTACCCACCCCCCAGTAAATGTGAAAATGTGAGCAACACAAACCTTTTTTTTTTTTTTTTTTTTGTTAGCAGCCTCCAGTATTTCCATTGCAGTAGCACAAGATGGACTAATGTCATTTATACTATTAAGGTTACTCTTGTGTGTATGGGTGTCTGTGCATCATGTGTGCACCTGTGCCCGCCCGCAGAAGGCATCAGATCCCCTAGAACTAGTTGTGAGGTACCATTTGGGTGCTGGGAATCAAACCCAGGGCCTCTGGAAAGAGCAGCCAGTGTTCTTAACCACTGAGTCATCTCTCTGTGTTTTAGCAGACTCAATCGCTGATCTTCCCTGGGTAACTTTAGTGTCACCTCCCAGCCTATTTCCTTGCTGTTCAAGTCACCCTTTATTGCCTGCACTGTCTACGAATGTTTACAGCATTAGTTACAATAGCCTGAAGGAGGAGACGGCCCAAGAGTGTAGCCACTTGTCAACTGGATGAGCACAATACCTTTTGATACAAGGGAGTATTCATCTTCCATCACCAGGTGACACAGTCTAGAGAGGGGAAGTGTGGAGACCATGCCATGTGTGAACCAGGCACGAGATGTCAGATGTTATGAGATACCCAGGACAAAGGAGCCCTCTGACGTAATGAAGATGAGCGTCAGTCCGCAGCCAGGGGGCGGGAGGCACTGAGAGATGCTTAAGAGCCCTGGATCTGCCTGTCAATGAGAATACTCTGGAACTAGAGGTGATGGCTGAACCCCAGAGCTGTGTCCTAACAGCTGAAGTCTGTCCCTTAAAATGGCTGGTGCTATGTCATTTCATGAGAAGAGAAAGCAAACCAAAGTTCTTTATAATTGGTGACCACCTGGTGATGGGATTCTGGCAAGCAACGATGATGCTAATTATCTCTCTGGGCCTCGGTGTCCCCATCTGTAAACTGACCAGACTGGATTACATCACAACTCCTTAACCAGAACAGTCTGAATCAGTCACATGGAGAGCTGCTTCTGACCTCGCAGGGCCACCCAAGCCTCTAGTCATGTATGTGCACATGACAGGCTGGCACCTGTGTTGCCACATGGAAAACACTTACCTCAGATCAACTCTACTCTCTTTTCAGACACCAAGAGAAAAGACCCCCACACCTCATGGTTCCACTCTCCTAGGACCCCTGTATGCACATCAGGACTTGAGTAAAAAAGGTAACAGAAGACATGAAGCGTGTTTATTAGGAAGAATACTGCAAACACTCACAGATGGTTCTCCTGCACACTTAGCCTAGGCTGGGACACAAAAGGACATCATGACAGAGTCCATTGGGTTTGCTTACATCACACAATTCTCAAGGCAGTTCAATTCCAGGCCATAAAAACCACATCTATGGCACCAACATGGAGTTCAAAAACAGGCTGGACTTCAAAGTGCCCCAATGCCAACCAATGAGAGGCGCATCCCAGCAGATTCCAAAGCCATCCAGGATGCTGTGATGCTGTGATGCAGGCTGTCCACACACCTGCTGGGCCCTCAGCACTGACAGTGCTACCTATTGACAGGTCTCCTGCTCTTTTCCCATAAACACCACACTGTCCCAGAACAGCAAAGGAATGCTATGTAATAGACAAACAGGACTGGTTATCTCATAACGCAGACAGGAATACAGAAAACATGGGGCCAGATGCAGCCACTCATTGGTTAGTGATGTTTTGGGAGGGTCCTCCCAGGCACTGAGATGAGGCTTAAAAATACGCTGGAGTAAGCTCTGTCTTCCCTTCTGTGGTTACCACTTGGATTAGGCTTCCTGAGTTTGGCCGTTTATTCCCAGTAATCCAGTCATGGAAGGTTCTAGAATAAGAAGAGAACATTCTTAAAGCAAAACTCTGGATACATGCTAATATTCTTATGGGTGGCCATGGGTGTGAAAGGTCATTTCTGGGTGAGCTATGAGAAAGCCAGAGACATCAAGGAATTAGAAACAGGTCCCCAAAGAGCTTGGTGCCTGACTAGGAATTGGTGTAATCTCAGCTTTTACCTTTGTCCTTATCTACATGATGAAAGTGTTTCACAACACAGCAATATGATTTTCACTAATAAAACAGACTTTAGATTATTAACTGTAAGAGACAGATAAGCACACCATATAGGCATCCATCCCTGAGCACCTATGGAGGTCTGATTTCCCAGACTGCCAAGGACCCCAAAGAGCATGCTATCTGCACATAACCCACACACATTCTCCCAAACTCCTTAAACCACATCCAGACTACTAACAGTAACTCACACGACACACATACTGCAACATTAACAGCTGTTACAACTGTACTGTCTTTAGGAAATAACAGCACCCACTCAGTACAGAATAATTTCTTTCAGTGTTCTTGATGTGAAGTTGGCTGAGTTGACACGTGAGAACCATCAACAAAGAAAGCCAGCTTCTGCTTTATTCCTTCTCAAATTTAAAAGGATGATAACCCACTCTTTAATTTCAGCAAAACATGTATGAAGTACCCAAGGCAAGACACAAAAAGCAGGCTGTGATAGCAAAATATATTGGGAATCTAAAATATTGTGGAGAGGGGCAACTAAGCCGATCAGGAACAAAGGAAGATCTTGTTTATGAAGTTTAAAAGCCAAGGAGAAAAAAAGGCACAAAAGTTTGCAAGCAACAGCAACAAGCAGTGAAGCTTTACATTTGAGAACAGTTGAGCTTTACATTCACCTGACTCTGGATCTCAGACCTCTAACTGGAAAGCATTCAGCTCTTAGGATGCAACTCTGTGCTCCCAGTGAGCAACCCTTCTGACTAGATTTGACAGTCAGCTGCCAGATACTCAGGCTCCTTCTCTGGATATTGTACAGCCAAGAAAGTGTATAGTCTCCGAACCCAAATCACTGCTGAAACGCCCTGAAATACTGTCAACGGTCATGGTCCCATCTCTGGGCTAGAGCTGAGCTGGGTGCCTTTGAGAGGGACAAAGGGTTTTTGTGTTCATCACACATGTCTGTCTTGCCTGTGGCCTCTCCGGCAGTGTGGCATGGGTGCCAGAGAAGGCATGCTTACCATAGAGGGTAAAGAAAGCAATGTGCTCACAGCGTTTCAAACAAACTTCACTCTAACTTGTCCAGTGAGTTTCGAGTGGGTAAAGAGGTCACTACAGCAAAGGGTGCCTGACAGCCCTTGCCGGGGAACCTGGGATTAAGCACCAGTTCAGACCCAGGAGCTTTGAGGTTGAGTCCAGAGTCTAGATTCTAGGTTAATATGTCACTCAAGCATTGTAGGAACATTGACCTTTAAAGAGAAATGTAAAAGTAGTCACAAATCAAATCATGGTGTCTTCTGCAACTTCCCTTTTCAATCAGGTATTAAAGCATGATTCCCAGTTCACCATGTGGTCAGCAGACCCACAGCCATGCTAGAGCCTAGATTTGCTGTTCTTTGGGCAGGGTACTCAGTCCCAACTCTTAGATCAAAATAATTTTCTATGAGCATTAAATAAGTAAGAGGATATGTGAGTAGGGGACGTGGCTCAGTCAGTAAAGTGCTTGTCACAAAAGCATGAAGATTATTTAGATCTCCAGAGCTCACAGAGAACAAAGTCAGGCACAGCCGCACAGTGCTGAGGAGGCAGAGACAAGAAGCTCACTGGAGTTCATGCTCCAGCCAGCCAGTATATCAGTGAGTTTCCGATTCAGTGAGACTGTCTCAAAAAAAGAGAGAGAGAGATGTCTCAGTGGGTAAGAATGCATATTGCTTCTATAGAGGACCTGAGTTCAGTTCCCCACTTGCTCTCCAGGCAGCTCACAACCCTCGTAACTCCAGCTCCAGAGACCTCAAGTCTCTGGCCTCTTCCAACACCCACACTCGTGGGCACACACCCACAATTACATATAACTGAAACAAACACATACATATAACTGAAAATAAAACACATCTTTTAAAAGATGTAGAAAATGGCTGAAGAAGACACACAATGTCAATCACATCTGACTTCCTATGTATGCACATGTTTGCGCGTGCACACACACACACACACACACACACACACACACAGAAAATTTTAGAATAGTGCTTGGCACATAACTAGCAATACATGAGTACTTGTTTTCTCCATGTTAGTTACGTGAGTTCTAACATTATGTCATAAATAAACACCCACTGCAGCCATCAAAGCAGCTATGACACTGGCACTTTGTGGAAGGTCACCTCCTATAGGAACTGTGACCTAGCCATCTCCATACGAGGCAGCATCTGGCTACAGTAAGTATTCTGTAAACCCAAACTTCCTAAATAGAAGACTTCAAGGAAAAAAAAGAAGAGGAGGAGGAGACGATGATGACTTAAAGGAACTGAGAAAATGAAACACCAAGCAATAAAACCAACTCCTTGTCCACTGAGCTTTCAAACTGTCCACACAACTGTAACTCAGCACTGATTGAGACATGTGACTGAGACTCCCCGGGCCCGCCCCCCTCCCCCCACCCCCACCCCCCCCACCCCCCGTCTTCCTGCCTCAGAATTACCCCTGGGATATATTGCCAATATAAGCGGGAGATGGGGATTACTGAACACTTGCTGTGGGTCAGACACACTGCCTAGCTAGTGCTAACACACACTATCATTTCCTTCCCTGCACCTTGGACCTCTTTAACACAGGTAAGCCATCTGTGTCCTAGGGTGGTTTACAGATGTGCTCACTGTGGTCGGACAGAGAGAAGGGAGTCAGGACTCATGTCAGGGCTATTAATCCCTCCACACAATTGCTCTTCTCCAAATCCAGGTGCCTCAGGACCTCAGAGCCCCAGAACCTTCCCCAAGATCACCGAGAAACCCCAAAGGGCAGGGGACAGAGACTGGAGGTTGCTTAATCACTGCCTGTGATACTCACTCAACCAGGAACTCTAAGGGTGTCCAGGAGCTGAAGTCTGCCTCAGGCATTGATTTCCTGTTCATTGGAGTATCCAGGGTAACCCTGCAATGTAGAGATAAGTGTGTCATTTGTGCATAGTCTTTGTAATAACAGGAGCCGGGTCCTTGACCATGAAAAGACAAACAGCATCAGCACTGGGAGCCTCTAGCACTGAACATGACATTTACATGCAGAGATCAGACAGGATAATCAGAGAGCGAGAGCGGCAAGCTGTCCACATTAACAAAAATCACAGCTGAGGGAAATCCAATAAGGCTCTTTGTGACTCACACTAGGGCAGACAAGAAGAAAACAGGGAGAGTCACATTTCACCTTTACAGCTTTTGTAAAAGGCAAGTGCTTTATTAAGTCCTCGTGCACACTCTCAAATGATTTATGTGAAATAATACTCCTCAAAATATCAAAATTATAAAGTATCATTTTCAAGTATATGGCTGCCTTCCAAGAAACTTGGGATCTTCAGGAAGAGAATACAAATTGGCCCAAAACATTTGGGCCTCAGACATCAGTCAGAACAGCCGGGAGGCAGCTCAGTCTTAAAACCTTACAAGTGAAGGACTGGAAAGCTAGCTAGTCCCTGAGCGGCCCCAGAACCCTTTACATACCAGAAGCAAGAGTCACTGAAAGAATATACCATGTCCAAAACAGCAACATCTGCTTGAGACAGCTGACAAGGGATTTGCTTCCTGTCAGTTAGAAATTTCCCAACAGATTCTCATGATCTCCTACCTAATTTCCCCCCACATGATGCCCCCGCTTTGCTACGCATGCGCACACACACTGCCTTTATACAATTTAAAGAACTAAATAAATTGTGTAGACTCTTTAAAAGTAGGAATGAGGGGGTAGAAAAAAAAAACAGAGGCAAAAAAGACAGATGCATCCCTCAAGACAGATCATCAAAACCCCGAAACACTGTCAGAGGCTGAATTCCTAGGTTGACACCTAGCCTGCAATGTAACAGAAACAGGGCCTTCAGAAGATAATTAGGTTGGGGGTGTGGCCCCATTGATGGATTTGGACACTTATAGAAAGGGGCTGAGGAAGCCCATTTGCCCTTCTACCATATGATAGTAGAAAGGGGACCACCTATAGTAGCATTCTCAACCTTTGGGTCGTAAGCCCTTTGGGGTCAAACAACCTTTTCACAAGGGGCTATCTAACACCCTTAGAAAACACAGATATTTGCATTATGATTCATAACAGTAACAAAATTAGTTATGAAGCAGCAACAAAAAAACATTCGGAACTGGAGAGATGGCTCAGTAGTTAAGAGCACTGACTGTTCTTCCAGAGGATCTGGGTTCAAGTCCCAGCATCTACATGGCAGTTCACAACTGTCTGTAACTCCAAGATCTGACAATTTCACACAGACATACAGGCAAACACCAATGCAAATACAATAAAAATAAATACATTATAAAAAATTATGGTTGGGGATGACTACAACATGAGGAACTGTATTAAAGGACTGCAACATTAGGAAGGTTGAGAATCACTACCTACAAGCTCTCACCAGACACCAAGCCTGCTAGCATCCTCAACTTGGACCTTCCAATCCATACAACTGTGGTCAGTATAATTGTGTGGTTTATAAAATACCTAGTCTAGGGTATTGTGTACAGTGGTAGGAATACAGTAAGATAGGAGCTTAAGGGGCGTTAGTGTACACACTCAAAGCCACGATAGAAAGGGACTCTCAAAATGTCAACACTCGGTGTCAGGCAAGGGGTAAGCAATGGGAACTCCTAAGCACCTACGGGAGCACAGCAATGGCGGCAGCCCCGGGTGGCATGCCACTGTTCTTCCCAGCAAGGCTCTGGCAGAGCTGATGGACGGCGCCCTTGGCCATGCCGTAGCCGATCATCCCTGGGAAAGTGAAGGAAACAGTTGGTTACATAGACATTAGGTGCAATCTCCTCAGCTCTCTGTCCCTTGAGACTTTAGCCACAGCCATACCTGGCATCCTCACTAGCCCTACCAAAATAACAGCAACCAGGAAAAGGTCATGGGATGACTGGGCAAGGGTGTGGCCCCTGGCCAGCTCCCAAGAATGCAGGTTTTAAAAGGCATTGGTGCCAACAGCCTTTCAACTTCCTGAGTGGCATGGAAGAGCACAAAAGGTCCTCAGCTGGATATTTCAAAAGTGGAGCTCTCATGCCTGTTCCCTGATGACTGGAAGGGCCCCAGACTCTCTAACCTCGATTTTGTTCATGCGTATACCTCAACCCATCAACAAGGCTGCACTGAGGACCAAAAATCAACCAGGAAAAAGGCAGGGAGGCCACAGAGGCCAGGTGGTGTAAGGGAGTGCTGAGCAGATGAGGGTGGGCATAGCTTTGCATAGCACCGGCTTGACTAAGCTGCTTGCCCAGGGGCATCAAGGAAGGTGTTTTCCCACTGTCCCATCTATTCATGGTACCCTCGATAGTGCACAGCTATCCCCACTGTGGAACAAGAATCTACTGACCACTGGGACCATTCCCTTCCACATCCACTTTGCACAGCATCCGATTGTGTGTTCTGACATGGCTGCCTGCTACAACTCTGACCTTGACATCATTTCTCTATGATCTTCATGCCCATCACCATCATGCTAGTGCTTGAAAAGGACTGCTTGCTTCCAGGTACCAAACCCCTACATAACCATCGTATGTCAATGAGCCTCCTCTGACCATGAATCCCAGGTTCCCTGATAGGCAAATGAAAATGCAAGGCAGCTCCCTGACTCCTAGGGTAAAACCCCAGATCCACGCTGAAGGTGACGGCTAAGGACACACAATGATTCCTAAGCACTGTGATCCAAGGAGAATCAGCAGCCCTTGCAGCCACCAGCCATCACTACACATGAATGCAGGTAGCCCTGGAGCCCAGGGGATCAGTTGCCCTGGAGCTGGAGTAAGAGGGGGTTGTGAGACACCCGGTATGAGTGCTGGGAGCCCAACTCAGGTCCTCGGCAACCTCACCAAGTGCCCTTAACCACTGAACCATGTCTCCAGCTCTGTTTAGTTTCTGAAACAGGTTCTCATTATGTAGCCCTGGCCAGACAAGAACCAGCTACATAGCCTGGGCTCGGCCTCAAACTTAGAGCAATCCTACCTCTATCTATGGATAACCGGCATGAGCTTCCATGCCCAGCCACAGAAAGAGAAGGTATTCAATACATTTTAAAAATTACATTTATTTTGGGTCCATGTGTGTATGGAAATCAGAGCACAGTTTGTGGAAGCTGTTTCTCTCCTTCCACCACATGAGTCCTGGGGATCAAATTCAAGTCATCGGGCTTGGTGGAAAATGCCTTTACCCACAAAGCCCATCTCCCCAGCCCCCAATACATTTTTTTACTCATATGAATGTTGATGGTCATGGTGGCAGATACCTGACATTCTAGCAATTGAAGTGTGAGTTCAAATTCATTCCAGGCTACATAAGATAAACCTCTCTCTCTCAAAAAAAAAAAAAAAAAAAAAAATATATATATATATATATGTATATATGTATATATAATATGTATATATAATAATTTCTACTATAAAAATATTTGAATGTAAACACAGATGTGGCATGGGTGCACACAAGAACACAGATGGAATGCTCCACAAGGATGCCTGAGGTCTGTGACCTCCTGAGGACTGCTGTAGAGATCAGGCACTTGAGCAGGTGCCAGTCTCCCTATTAAGTGTGTGCCTTTCAGCACCGTGTGAATGTTTCCTACATGCACAGGTTAAAACAGGCTAATAAAACATACATGAATAAGAACAATACACTGCCATCCCGCTTTCTCCCTACGATCTCTTCATCAGGCTCGGAGCCCTTGGTCACATCAGCTCCTCTACACAATGTTTTCAGAGACAGAGTCTTCCCTTCGCTCTCACTTTATCCCCTTGCCTTGTCCAGGACATTTACTTAGAGAGTAATTCACCAGGGTGTGGCGTGTATAAAGAGCTGCACATGTTCAGGCAATCCGTGTGAGGAGTACGTCTTGACACGGGCACACTGGCTCCCTTAAGCTTCCTCTCCCCCCACAACGCAGCTCTGCTAAGTGAAGTCAGTGATGCTGTTGTCATGGAAGGTCCGCCAAATGCAATAGCTGCAGAGGCAACCTAGGCCCAGGGAGGTGGGAGTCACAGCCCAGTCCGGGAACCAATCACTGACCAGCTTCAGCAACAGCACTGATTGCCAAAGAGGGTCAAGGTCTCAAGAAGTTATTAGAGGAGTATTTCACCATCCTCAGCTTAAGCCAACAGCAGTTTAAAAATACAGCTCAGCAAAGTACAGGGCACTCTCTCTACCTTTATATTTCTACACTGTGAGGACCAGAAAGCTTTGGGAGGAAAGAAATGAGAACCAGCAACCCATCGATTAATTCAACAGAATAACACAGATATGAGATCATTTGCAAAATACTAAAAAAGTACATACGACTATGCTGGATACTTTCTTCCCAATTATAATGTGATCATACAGTCCCTCAAGAGTGGCTTCCAACCACACACAGCCCAGAATGGCTGCAGAGCAGAAGGGTCATTAAGATGAACCATCACCGTGGGGCCATCTGTACTTGTAAGCCAAAGGAAACTGAAGCTTGCTTTGTCCTTTAAAAATTAGTCTTTCATTCCCAGGGTTTTGGTTTTGAAATGTCAACCTATTACTCATTTCTCTATTTACTTTCTAGCGCGTCTGCCCTATGTCACCTTTAATAAAAACCAGCTCTCAACCAGACAGACGTCTAACATTTACACAGCTTTAATTATTGCAACAGCCACAGACCTCTTAGATCCTATGCTCTGTGAAATGCGATGAGCAGCAAGAAATTACTAATTAGCAAGAGCCTCATGGTTCAGTGAGCTACATTAAAACTGAGAAGGTGCCCCAAGATCTCTACCGCTTGTCATTCAAGGAAATGTACCTCTTAAAAACACGGTTAGTACAGATGAGGTTAGTGCCCACCCCTCTGGGCTCCTTTCTTAGATGCCGTTAGCCATGGCCCTAAATGAATGTGTGACTTGAAATACACCCCACTCCCAAATTTGTGTGTTGTACTAACCCCACTATAACTTAGAACCTTACTGTGTTTGGAAGAAACACAGGCCTTTAAAGTGGTGCTTTAGTTAAAATGATGTCTTTAGGGTGCAACTCTAATCCAGAAGGACCAAGGAACTTAGGATCCAGACACACAGAGGGATGATCATCTAGCATGCAAGAAGGAGCCACCTACAAGCCAGTGATTAAGTCCTGGAAACCAACCCTACCAACACCCTCGTCTTAGACATGGTACCTCTAGAATCATCAGGAAACATGTGTCTATTGATTAAGCAAGCCAAGGCATGGAAGCCCCAGCAAAAGAATACAGGAGTAAGAAATACAAAAGGAAGGGTCTTTGCACTGGAATGAAAGCAGCTCACAATTTAGAAACGATGAGGGGTTTGGTTCAAAGTTCATTCACTATGCATTCATTAAATAAATCTGGACAATTTATTTAACTCTCTAGGTTTTGGTTTTCTAACCAATGAATTGGAAAGGTAACAATGATGCGTATGCATGATTCAACAAAAAATATATGTGCAGTGGAAAGTACATATAATAATACTTGGTACTTGATGTGAATATAGTAAGACCTACCATGTGGTAGGCACCATCTATGTGCTCTTAAGCTAGGTACTACTGTCACTGTTTTACAATTAAAGAAACTGTGGCAGATATTTGACCAAAGAATTGGAGTCAAGAATACACCTGCCAATATACTTCCTTGGGACCCGCGATTGCAATGTAATGGTAATACACATCTAGTTTACTCTGTATTGCTCTATTGACCACAGATCATAAACCAGATGGGTACCAAATTACAGTCCCATGACCGGGGACAAATGTAAATGATCAAGATTGTTCCCCCAAAAGATGACTCCAGCATAAAAGGAATGCAATCTGCCCAATGGGAAAGCTCCTGAGGGCACAATGGGAATTGCACCTCCTCAACCCACAATGCATTTGGTAGCCCCAGCAGGAGAAGCATTCAGGCTGCACACATGGAAAAGATAAAGGCTTACCAGGGGTCCCATCCAAGGCAGCCTTGGCCCCAGCCAGGGTCAGGAGGCCTCCTTCCTTCAGGTGCTTGGTGGCCAAGTGGCTGGAGATGGTGGATGTCCACATACTCTGCTTCCACATCAGGTCACAGTTTTTAAAGAGTGCTGGGGGAAGGGCACACATGGGCACTCATCATTCCCAGACAAGAACCCAGAAGGCAAGCTCAACTCACATGGCCCTCACTACAAGAGGCCCTTCAGGCCCTGCTGTTCTACCTCGGAGGTCTAATAAAAACAGCACAGGGATCAATGGTCAGAGGCGCAGGTTTAACCACAGGCCACACAGTGCCCTGGGTCTCAGCGTCCTCACCTACTAACTGCCAGAGTTTCAGCCAATAAACTCTAGCAAATGAACCTGGGTTCAACAGACGCACCGGTCTGTCATGGCTTCAAAACTGTTTTTACTTTTATGAAGGCTATTAGGTTTATAATAGAACTTCTATCACTATTCTGGCTTCTACCCCTGATAAAAACCCAAGAGATGATCACCCTGCGCCCATAAAGAGGGTTTTTACAGAGTTACATTTTCATGGAAAAAGTTAATGAGCGCCTTTAAGAGCCTGTAAAAGATAGCTGAAATGGCAGCCACTTCACAGCTGTGTTAGCCCCTAGCCATTCCAGAGACTCAAAAAGAACAGGTGGTAATGTCTCACTGTCAGGACCTGCCCCCTCCCCCCCCACACACACACACCCTAGCTCTCACATGGTGTCTTCACCTGCCACCTTCCTCCATGGGATAATGCTAACAGAGAACCCTCACTAGACACAGAACTTCAGCTCTGGACTTCCCAGCCTGCAGAACTGTGTGTGAGCAGTCAAGCCCTACAAATTTCCCACTTCTGTCATCACAAACCAAATGAAGAGGCAGAGCCGTGGCAAGTATCCTGAGAGGCAAACAGAAAACCAGCCAGCCTGGTGCCTCATCTAGGCCAGAGCCATGTCAGCTAGACAATGAGCAGAGCGGAGCAGAGGCAATAATTAATGTGGAAAAGACTCACACTTGGACTTGGCGTTGCCCCCAGCCCATCCTCCAGCCACACAGAGAATGGCGTCTACCTTCTGGTCACCTAGGAGCTTCCCAACTTCAGCAGTGACCTTAAACAAAAGAGGAGAAAGGTGAGCTAAACAGGCCTTGCCTTCTCTTTCCCTTTGTTTTAAGCCAGTTTACAAGAACCAAGCAATTGGCTGGGGAAACTAGATGAGGGAAGTTCTGTGCATTTTGGATAATGAGGCCAACAGCTTTTCACTATGGATTTCATAAGGTTGAGCTTTACACGAACAATTCTAAAAGGCATAAGCACTTCCTGAAATCTAAATATAAAGAAAAGGAGAAAGGGAACTTAAGAAAATCGCTAGAGCCTCATGACAAATAGGTGAGGTTTTGGTATGTTCCTTTCCAAATTTTCTCCAGGAACCGTAGACTCATGATCTGAGAAGGCTCCATTCCACTTGACCCACCCCACCCCAAACAAAAACATCTTTTTCTATTTTGTTTTATTTGAGACAGGGTTTCTCTGTGTAGCCCTGGCTATCCTGGAACTCACTCTGTAGACCAGGCTGGCCTCAAACTTAAGAGACCCGCCTGCCTCAACTCCCGAGTGCTGCAATCAAAGGTCTGTGCCACTACTGCCCAACACAAAAACAGCTTTAACAAAGAAATATCATTAAAAAACACAAGAGCAAGAAAATGACAGCCACTGGCAAAATGCTAGTACATGCTGAGTACATGGGGTTAATTTCAATGGTCTCCATGTTTGAAATATCCACATACTCTCATTATCATTTATGAAAAGGGCAGCCTGGCACACAGACCATGCTGGCCAGCCACTGTGGCTCTTACTGGCTGGAATGTCTGAGGTGATGCCTCGAAGTGTTCCGTTTGCTCCATCTTTTGAAAATTCATACTAAGACCCAGAGTTTCTCTAGCAACATCTCCATGGAACCACTACTTCTTTTGGGAAGACTCAAACTGTTCCTTCAAAGGGAATGCTCAGCCAGTGAAAAGCAAGCCTTTCCTGCACACCACACCTAATGCTCCCTTTTCAGCCTTCTACCTACTCTGGCTATATTATTTGTTGACCTTCCTCCTATGACCCTGAACAATCCTAGAGGTCCTTCCCTTCTTTCAGAAGTCAAGGCTCTCTGGTCAGACTTAGACCCAAGACCAATGGGTCATGACCCCTTTGGGGGTCAAACAACCCCTTCCACGGGGACACCTGAAGCCATCAGAAAATATAGACATTTACATTATGATTTGTAACCATAGCAAAATTACAGTTATGAAGTAGCATCGAAATAATTTTTTTTTGGGGGGGGGGGTTCACCACAACATGAGGAACTGTATCAAAGTATCCCAGCATTGGGAAGGCTAAGAGCCACTGACTAGACCCTGACGGCCAGAGGTTGCACCAACTCCCCACACACCTGGCAGGCACAGGGTCCGTGCCACCCTGCCTACATTTCAAGGATGCACAGAGCAAGCAGCAACTATGAACCATCTGACTCTACACCTATGCTTCATTCTTATAATAAAGTAAGGCAATTCCAAATTCCAGCCTCTTGGATTTTGCTTTCTGCCCAAGAATCTAGAGATTCAATTCTCTTCTCATGCCTATATCTCCTCTCCCTGGTTGAATGTTTTGACCTGGGGACCAATTTCACATGTATTGGGATTAACTTCCCTCTCTGGGTGCCTCAAAATTGAAATTGGAAGTATCATGTAGTTGGCTCTGAAACTCACAATGGAATGGAAGTAGAGATCTTAAAAGCTAAGATTATAGTAACACATTTTGCCTTGCTGATGCGTTCTATACAGTCAAGTCTCAGGTGGGGACAACCTATATGGTGGCTAGCAATATGGTTCAGCAAATAAAAGTGCTTCCTGTACAGACCTGTTACCTTGACCACTGGATTCAGTACTAACTACCAAGAGTTGCCCTCTGACCTCCACACATCGATTATGGCATGTGTGCCTATATTAACATTCTCATTAATTCATCCACCTCCCTTTCTCCCCCATCTCGGATAACAACCTGGAAGGACTGTGGCTCTCTAAGCCCACACATTGCTCTCCTCCTGAGTTTTAGCTTTTATTGCTGTATCCACATGGCTGCTTTGAGGCAGCTTATCTCATTGTGTAAGAGCACAACCGTGAAGTGCACTACCTGGGCTCAAACTGTAACTATGCCATTCTCCTACCTGCCTGATCTTAGGCCAGCATCTTTCTGCACATCTTTCCCACATCTGTAATTCAAACCAGTCAAAGAACATGAAGCATCAGCCAGTGTTGAGATCACCAGAGACAGCACAACAAAGTAGACTTCTGCCCCAACTCTAGCACTAACTAACTTCTCAGACTGTCACTTACTGGCTCAAACCTAGTGACCCCATTGTGACATGGCCCATCTGCCAGCCTATCCAGGAGTCCTGAACACAGAGCATACCACCCAGAAGCAGGTGGGGATTTCCTTGGGAATGAGGGTTGGGAGCACTAGCCTGAGTCCTCCAGGCAGCGGATCAGAAGAGCTGCTCCAGAGGTAGGACTGCTTAAGAGCCTCTAAGAAGTTCATACTAAAACATCCATCCAAATGACAATCGTCTTTTTTCTGGGGAGTAGCAGGATCTTGGGGAAAAGGTGGTGTTGCCATTTATTTAACATATTTCTAGAGTTTTATTGGTTTCCCTGTCTTACAATTTGGGCATAATTTCATAACTGAAAATAAAATAGTTTGTATTTATGCTTTGAACTAGGGTAACTTCACTTTTCAAAATATTGCAGATATACAAAGATGTTTGACTACACTACTCTTGTTAAATAGTAAAAACAAACAAAAACTCAAATAAGAAAAACCCTAAGGCATACAATAAAGAAGCTAAGTGAGCTGTACATAGCCAATCAACAAAATAAAGTACAAAGTGTTTAAGTGAGATGATGCATTTAAAGTAAATGGTAAAGTTTTAAAATATAAAACATAAGACATGCAAAAGCAGTTAACACCCAGCATGCAAAGACAAGGAAACATGCCAAAATCAGCTAGTCAGAAATTGATGCTAAAATGTATCTTTGCTTTTGCTTTAAGTTTTGTTTTTCACTTTTTCTAAAGCTTTCCTCTGGGGGATTTCAGAATTGGCTGACAAAGAACACAGTCAGAGAAACCCTCCCTGGGCCTCTCCTCTAACAGTGAGGGACCTTTTAGAAGTACCTGGTCAGCCTGCTCCGTAAATGAGTCTGTCATTTTAACAATGACACTGGCACTGGCCTCTTCATTCTCCACCACATCGATGCTGGCCACCCACTGGAGCAGGAAAAACAGTTTAGGGTAAGAGTCAGTGAGTTGTGAATTCTCTAAAGAGCCACACCCAGAAATGGGAGCAATAGGGACAGTGGGCTTAAACTGAAATGCATGGGACCAAAAATGCTTCCAGTTTGCAATCTGGGACTCTGAAATATTTGCATATACTTATCCTGGGGATAGGACTGGAGTTTACATGCAAAATTCACATTTGGTATGCACATTTCATATACATTGTCTACTCAGTCTGAAAGAAATTTTACACAGTCCTTTTAATAATCTTGAACATGCAATAGGTTTCATGTCATGAAACTTCCCAGCTGGGGCATCACACAGCCCTTAAAAAGCTTCAGATTTAGAAGCAGTTCAGATTTTTGCTGAACATGTTAACAAAAACCCACTAGAGAAAGGAAATAACTGATCTCCCACACATCCCTTTAGGGACCAACTGACTGTGGCTGATGCACCTTCTACCACACTTCTTCCCAAGCCATAGCGCTCCTTCCTCTTCCCTGCTGTCCTCTCAAGGACAAACTCTACATGTATCTAAAAGCCCCGGAGTTCAGCAAAGCCTCTGTGAAGAGCCATAGTGAGAACCAAAAGTCTTGCTGGCCTATGAGCTCTCACAAATACTTAACCCTGCTAGCACAGGAGACAGCCACAAATAATATGGAGTTGGAGGGACATAACAACCATCCTTGCAAATGCCAGATGCTGAAATATAAACTACACATGCCACATGTTGTTATGCTTTTCATTTCATAAAACCATTTCAAGTGTAAGCCCCTTCACAACTCTTGGGTGCACAGTGATGGACAGCTGCCCAGCTGTCCTATGGAAGACCCCCTTCTCTGCAGCAGACAGATGGGCCTTCGGTGTGCATGCCTGCTCAGGTATTAATGCTAGCTCAGCCATAATGTGGCAATCTTCTTCATCAAAGAAAGCAGGTGAATGATTAACAGGGCTAGTAAGAACAAAATGAGATGGGGGATACTTACTCCTGGCATCACTCAGAAATCTCCGGGGTCCTTCAGGCTAAAAACCCCAGAGGTTAGTATCTACCTTTAATTGCAAATACAGCATCAATTCAACAACACCCATTACTTGTGTACCACAAGCCATGGGGAATAATAACAGAGACAAAGTCAGCTCCACCCCAGCCCTCCCTAGGGTGCCAAGAAACAGAATTTGGGGTAAATCAGCACACCAGGCTCAATGCAGAGGCCAAGCAGGAACACCGCTTAGTAGCTGGCTCCCTGGTTCATGCTCAGCTGCCTTCTTAAGAGCCACAGCCCAGCCTGCCTAGAGATAGTGCCACCCATATTAGGCCAAGTCCTCAACATTAATCGTCCATCAAGACAAGCTCTCTCACAGACATGGCCACAGGCAAATGTGATCTGAGCAATTCATCCACTTCCAGGGGGACTCTAGGTTGTCAATGTGACAATAAAAGCTAACTAGCAGAGGGGGATGGTTTAATCTATAAAGTCAGAGTCAGAGAAAACTGATAGGTAAGAGTACAGGACCCAGTGGAGGTAGACAAAGCCCACACCCTCAACGCTGCCTTTGTCTCCGCCTCCATCTGCGCAGATCGTGGAAGACACCCCAGGCTTCCAATGTTCTAAACAGGCAATAGTATTACTCTTGTATCACACTTAAGCCAGAACAAAATCCTGGGCCCTTCTCTCTGGTCTCAGAGGATCCCTTGCCCAGGCTAACTAAACTCTCAGGTAAGTGCTCCAAGCCTCGGGACTAACTCTAAGACAAGTCTCCTGTGCTGATCCTTACTAAGAGGCTGCGGCCAAGATCAGCTCTGTGTCCCCTTGTCCTCTGGGAGTGGGCACCTGACTAGGCTAAGTAGTTGAAATATCCTTAAATAAGCAAAAATGTCAGCAGCTGCGGGGCTGAGCCTTCGACTGCCCGTTCCAACAGGGGCTAAACAACACTAGTAAAATATTAACCGCAGTACTTTTACGCTAGCACGTAAAAGGCTTTTATTTATCTATTTATTTATTTATTTTGACCAGTTATCTCACTCAATCATCACAATCGACCCAAGAGTAAAGAGGAACATTACTGTCATTTTATTTTACAGGGGAAACTGAGGCTAGATCAATTCAAGAGGACTGGGCAGCCCAATTGCAGAGTCTCCCTTCTGCCCTTCCCCCTGCCAGTTCGCTCATCCCGTTCCTCTCCCCCTCCCGAGTCACGCTGGACCTAATGGGCCTGGAGGAGGCCTTAGGGAGCACCTACACCACGCGTTCCTTGCAGGGCAGAGGCCCGACACCTGTGGCCCAGAACGGACCGGAGCATGCGAGTGTAGCCTAGCCACGGGTGCACAGGGCCGGTCGTCCCCCACCCCACCCCGACCCCTACTCCAAGAGTCCGCCGCTCGCAGCGATCGTCCCGCAGCGTTACCCAGTTGCGGGCTCGGAAGGCCTGCACGCAGCGCGAGCCCAGCGCGCCCCTGCCGCCGTACACCAGCACCCGGCGCGCCTCGCCCGAAGCCGCCATCAGCTCCTCCTCTCAGGCTCCCACGCGCCGGGATCGAATGTCAAGCGGGAACGCACTGCCTGCCGTGCCCGCCCGCCGCTACCCAACGCGGAACTCAGAGGGGACGCCCGCCCCTACCTGCGCTGTGCCCCGCCCCGAAGCCCCGCCCCGAGGTGGAACCGGAGGCATTGCAGAGCCACGCCTCCCATCTTGGCCAATAGGAGTGCGTCGGCTGGGGCGCGTGATCTCGGCGTGCCCCGCCCTAAAGCTGAGACACATTAAACCACGCTAGTAGACTCCCGGCCCGCTAGATGACGTGCTCTCCGCTGCGCCCCGCCCATCTGCCCAGCCTCCACCCCGTGAGCCAATAGGAGCGTAGCTTGCTAGGCGTGGCCCGCCTTCGCCCGTAGGGCCAGAAAGCGTGCAGCATTCCCTCCGGTATACCCTGCCTGGGGTGCCAAGTTCAGCCCTCAAGCAGAGATGTTTTTGGCCAAGAACAAGAGTTCAGTCGTACAGTTGCTCCAGAGCTCAAGTGAGTGAAAGTAATTGCTGATACGAAAAAACCACCTAAAATATTTTAACCCCCAAGTAAGAGTATGAACCTGGCTTGACCCCACTGCCTAACAGCTGTGTGGCCTAAGTACCTCCTTCAATTGTTCTGTGCCTCAGTTTCCTTGCTAATAAAATGTGATTACTAGTCTGTGCCTCTGGAGTAGGAGAAAAGAGTCTAAAAGGTACATCGAGAAGTGTGAGGCTATCAGTATTAGTCTTATCCGTACCAGTTATTAAAATTCACTGAGCCTCTTAGAAGTCTGTTACTTTTTTCCAAATGGGAGGGGGGGCAGTTGTCTATCTGGGGACACATTTAAAAGCGAAAATCTGCCAAAAGAGAAATACAAAATGTGTAGTGCTCTATAGTTTAAATGCTTGCATTTCTGGAATTGATGCCTCTAAAACAAAGGATATGGTGGGAGTTATTGCTATATTTAAAATAGTATTAATGTTTAGCACAAGAGGCTTTGGTAGGGGCACAAATTTAGCTATGATTAAGTTTTAGGCCTGTCCTTACAACTCTCTGGCTGCATGTAAGCAAGGGATATCCTAGATCTATCTTTGAGGCCCACCAAATGATGCCAGCCATCCCCAGGAGATCCTGGTGTCACCTCCCACTCTATGCTCCTAACAACTGCACTGCTGGCATTTAGCGTCAGATAACTGGGACTGAGCAGGGCAAGTATGTTTATAGTATTCACAATATCTCTGGACTCTAACCCTAGAGGTCAATAGCAAGCCCTTGGTCATAAAGATCAAAATATCTCTAGCCAGGCCTGGTTGCTCAAGCCTGGAATCCCAGATGCTCAGGCAAGAGGACCACAAGCTCAAGGTCCTGCCTGGACAACAATGAATTCAAGCTAGACTAGGTAGCTTAATGAGACCGTTTCAAAATAAAAAGTGTTGATGATGTAACCCAATGATGAAGCATTTGCCTAATATGCCCAAGGACTTAAATTCAATCCCTGGAGCTGGGGTTCTCTAAATGTTCCCTAAGATCCCCTGATGGGCAAAATTCACCTTTAGCTAAGAACTATTCCTTGTCTCTGTTGCAGCCTTTGCAAGCAGATATTACATTGAACTTCTTCATGAAGCTCCAGCCCACAGGGTGCCTTGTAGACAACAGACACAGTTTTACCTGTAATTGTCAAGACCTGCTGACCTCTGTCAGTGGACATCAGGATGTGGCTGACAGAACATCCCACTCTCGTGAACTGCGTTATCCAAAGCAGAACTGTTGAGAAGCCTGGTGGGAAGGAAAGGCACATAAATCTAGTGCCCTCCTCCTGCCAGGCATTTTAAGCACTCTGTGTGTGCAAGTACACTTTTCTGTGCACAATAACCCTAACCCTGCTGTAAAAAGACCAAGGTGTGGGAGTCTCAAGCACCCTCCTAACACAATGACTTTGGATCTGGTCTTCACTAGCTGGGGGTCCTCTCAACCAGCACTTTAGTCAGCATGGCAGAGTGCAGGGTGCTTGCTAGCACTCAGCTGTAGCTCAGAGAGTTTTTCCTGAAAGCCCTCAAACATCGGAAGTTGATATAAGCACATAAGCCCACCATTTAATACAGAACTGTAACTCCAAGGTAAGTACATCCTATCTTCTAAGTATTTTCTTAATGTTAAAACAAGAATGACAGCTAGTATTATTTGTCATATCTTAATATGACAAATAGTCTTCAAGGGCTCTTATATGCACTGTGTCATTGGTTGGCAGATAAACATTTTCTATTTCTGGGCCACTTTGGTAAAGATAAGCTACTATATTCTATCCCAGTACTACCATTGTTTCCTGATAAAAAATACAAACGGCCTGGTCCACAGGGTTGCTGAAGTATCAGAGATGCAAAACCATACACTAAAGCCCTTTGCTGTCTTTCAGAGCTCCCCATAAGCTTCAGAAATACTGCTCTTTATTTCCATTATGGAGAGGTCACTATAGTGAGTCCCCTCATAAGAGAGATCCTGTCACTTCCATAACATGTATGCATGGCTCCAAGAGTTTCAGGATCCTACTGACCAACAATGCGACTTCAGAAGCACTCCTCCAGATATAGGAAACATTGGATAAAGTTTGCTGTGCTGCCTTGGCCCAATTTTTCTCCCCACAGTATTTACAGAGTGGCTTTTACCAGTCTCATGGGAACTTTGGGTTGATATTCAACAATACAGTAAAAATCACAGTTTTAAAAGTCACAGTATAAAATGGAGAACAGAAATGACTCATTCCTGGGATCCAAAGATTAAAAGGAAAAGGCAGAGGGACTTCCTGGAAAGAAGGGATCCAGAAGCAGTGAGATGGGGATAAGAGTGGGAAACTGGTGAAGAATATGACTAAGGTAACATTATGTGCATGTATGAGGTCATGAGATCACCAACGAGATAGCTAGAACATACACAGATAGATGATTGATAGATAGATAGATAGATAGATAGTTGATATATAGATATAGACAGATAAACAGACAAATTGATAGATGATAGATAGATGGTTGATAATATAGATATAGACAGATAAACAGACAGATTGATAGATGATAGATAGATAAAAATAGACAGACAGAGATAAATAGGTAGAAAGATAGCATTGGGTAGATGGATAGATAGATAGATCTTGAATTTTAGATAATAACGTCTCAGCCAGGCTGGACCTTCATTCCTATAGTCATAACACCCAAGAAGCTGAGGAAGGACTGCAAATTCAAGGTCCGAGATGCATAGGAAAAACGTACAAAAAGAAAAAGAAATAAAAGTGTCTGACCTATGTCAGATGCCATGGAAAAGTGGGGGGGGGGGAGATAGGATGGCCCCACAGTCACAACAGGTTCCAGGTTACAGTTCGGCCAGCAACAAATCCATACAGCTCTAATTCACACATTTCAATTTAAGCCTTATGAACCAGGGTCAATTCATGGTATTAGAAACAGCTCCAGGGATTCTGACAGCAGTGACATTTTAGAGAAAGAAATGCCAGGGCACGCCTGGAAGAGATCGACATTTGATCCCGCACGCTGCTGCTAACACATGTGAATGCTAATGGGTCCATTTCTGCTTTGCTTCTGCTGTGTGTGTGTGTGTGTGTTTTTTTTTTTTTTTTTTTTTTTTTTAAGTCTAGTTAGCATCCTTTGTCAGCAGTCCCCTCTGAGTTTGCTTGATAATAACTCTCTGGTCATTCTGAATGCCCACATCATAATGTGACTTAAATACTTGAACGAAGGGACAATTAAAGTCTCTACTGAAACCCTAGTCCAGTGAGAGATATAGGGTTACTTCCTTGGGTAACACACTCTTCTGTACCGAGTCAGGGGAAGATCGTCTGCAGAGGCTGGGCGTGTGTATGTAGTAAACACAAACTGAGGAGGCAGGCACTAAAGGAGAATGAGGAGATGGGCTGGAAGTCTTGAGTTCGTGCGTATGGAGCAGGCTATCGCCGAGTATCTGAAAGATGTCCATTTGCCCTGCTGTTGCCCAGAGTCCTGGGGAATGATCTGCATTCACTAGTATGCCTGGATGGTTCAAAAAGGCGTGGTACGGGCTGGCGTCTCTACTCAGCTTCTCTTCCTTCCTCCTGATCATTGTCGCCTTGGCCGTGCCCCATTGGTTGAGTGGGAAGATCCTTTGTCAAACTGGAGTGGATTTGGTCAATGCCACAGACCCAGAACTGGTCAAATTCATCGGGGACATTTACTATGGGCTCTTCCGAGGTTGTAAAGTACGGCAATGTGGGCTCGGAGGCCGCCAGACCCAATTTACCAGTGAGTATACTGGGGCATGTGAGTATATCGGAGCATGTAAACTGATTGCGCATTTTTTTTTCTTATTTTGCAGAAGTGCTTGTGTCAAAGTGAGATTTGACTATTGCCTATCTAAGACATGGCATCAAAGTCTATAGGCAGCAGACAGCTCCTGTGTAGCAATGCAGAGAGAATTTTTCTTTCTTTTATAAAAAAGATAAAGAAAAATTCTAGAGACAGGATTTTGTATAGTTTGTAGTTTACTTCTAGTAATGATTAGTAAAATATCGAGTGCTCCTGTGTCAGGGATTCCGCTGGAGGCTGCACATTGCCTGACTCTTTTCGGCTTTGCAACACAATTACAATGAAGGCATCATGAATGCTCCGGTTTTTGTTTGTTTGTTTGTTTGTTTGTTTGTTTTGGTTTTTTCAGCCGATTACATTGAGGCTTTAGAAGTTACATAATTTGCCTGCTGTCACTCATTCTGCCAAGAGCCAACAGAGCCAGATGCCAGACACATGCCACATGACTCTGGTAGTCTTCACTACAACGATGTACAGGTGCAGACTGTCTGCAGAAGGAGGCCTCGAGGAAGCATGGTAACTGCTCCCACACCCATGCAAGAAAGCATCATAGCCTGAGGACTTTGCTGGGCGCATACTTCTTGGGTTTGAAGAGCAGCTGGCACGTTTCCTGGCAGGGAGATTGAGGAAGGCCCTTGATGGTTTAAAGATGGGCAACCAGCAGCACTGGCCCGAGTTCGGAGCTCAGAAGATAATGTAACCCCAGGAAGACTTAGGCTGCAATCCAAAAAAGGCTTAGAAAAGAACTTCTGGGAAAGAAAAAACAATCAAACAATTAGGTCACTGGTAAGAATAGTGTCCTACAAAACTATGTTAATCAATGGCTTCTTAGCACATGGGGATTAAATATCTCACCCATCACTTGATTTCCGTATCTCAGAACTGTGGTAATGTTTTAAAATCTGGCCAGGACTTGCATCTCACTAAACATAGAAAAATATAATGGTGTACCCCTTGACAAATAATACAAATGTTCTTCATTTCTATATAGAAAAGAAAGGCATGTCCATTATCTTTATAGAGAAAAATCTCTGAGGATATTTATATTCACCCAGCAATTAAAATGGACCTTAAGTACTGGCAAAATAATGCCATTACTACCACAACCTAGGGGGCTGGTGGTGGCTCAGCCATGGTCACATGCAAGCCTGTAACTCCAGTGCTGTCAAGGGTAAAGACAGATTGCTGGCTGTCAGCATAGCTCTGAGCTATCTCCAATTAACAAGGCAGAGACCGATACAGTAGGCCAGCCAATGTCCTCCTCTGATTGCCACAAGCCCACACACAGATGTGCAAACCACACACACACACACACACACACACACACACACACCAAATAGTAGACCTTGAAAAATAATCATACAAATACAGAAGAGGGTGTGTTAAAAGGAGACCATGACAATAATGTTCTATCTGTGTGCTCTGCCTGCCTGGTATATCTGTAGAACACTTACGAAACTTTACTATGTTGGAAGGATGACAGGGCAGCCATTTTTCCTGTGGTCCCCTAATGTGCTGGTGGTATCTAAATGGTAAGCACAGCTCCCAAAAACTTAAACTGCTTCTCACGGGAAGCCATAACGATGAGTACCTTATGTTTGCCCGATGGAAAAACTCAACAAATGTCCCTTTCTCTGCTGCTCCTTTTGAGAACCAGCCCTGTTTCCTCTATTGAACATAAAAAAATGTGTGAGATACGTAGGAGGTTTTCATTTTTTATCTGTGAGTCGGGCAGTATTTGAATATGTTTTGTTTTCAGCTGCTCTCAAATCATCCCAGAGGATGAATATGTTCATTCACAGTGCCTTCGAAGTGTACCTTTTTTCCTGCAATCACTTGCTATATACACATTGTGTATATTATTACCTCTCTAGACACAATCTAAGTTTCTTCAGAGCACAGCTCTCAAGCCTCATACAATGTAACTCAAAGTAGCCATGGAGTATATTGGCATTTCCCACCCTTAACAGGATTTCCCACTTTCTGAAGGCCCACAGGAAAAAAAAATATTCCCTATTCACAAAGCAAATAAGCAGAGAGGAGCTTGTGAAAGCGCTTTATAAACCTTAGACTAGGGAGTTTTTATTGAGTCTCACTTAAAAACAGCTTCTTTCCTCACCATCACAGAGACCCTTCTGAGAGACTCAACTCCTACATTAGTCATAGGCAAGACTGTTCCCACCACCAACCACTAAGGCCTTTTTTATAGCTAGAGCTTCTGAAATAAAAGTAATGCTGGAGTCGCTGCACAAAGAAAGCAACAAGCATTAAATTAATGGCATGCGTGCATTCAGGTGTACTGGTGAGTACATACAAGCCAGGTACCAGCAGGCAAAGAGGGATGAACAGGGCAGACAAGTGCCGGCTCAGAGATGCCTGCTGTGTGGCCAGGGAGACATGGGGCACACGCGGACTAGATTCTAGTCACTAGAGAACCTCTGAAGCCATCCCTGGGGTTCATTTCCTCTATCCTGATTTTATGATGCCATGTTATTAAAGAAGAAATTGGGAATTAGAAAAATCAATACATGTTGCAGTTTAACTCTCTAGTCCTCTCCCTACATCTTGTCCCAGAATTATCTCCCCAAGAGCTAAAACCTGGGTCTGTCTTCCAAGTCTGTGATTATTTATTAGTCTCACCAGGGCAAAAGATCACATGTCTCTGGAAACAAGAACAAACAAATCATCTAAGTTTAAATGCTGATAGAATAATATTCAAGCAAAGTATTGCTTCTTCTTATGTTTTAAAAAAAAAGTTTAAGTTTAAAGTAAGCCTTCTAGAATTTAAGCTACACTGTGATTAAAATTTTAAACTTTTTTTTTGAGACAGGGTTTCTCTGTGTAGCTCTGGCTGCCCTGGAACTCACTCTGTAGACCAGGTTGGTCTTGAACTCACAAAGATCTGCCTGCCTCTGTGTCCCAAATGCTGGTATTAAAGGCATGAGCCACCACTGCCCAGCAATTTTAAACTCTTGTTTGTAACGAGTATGGTTTTTCCACCCGCTGCCCGGTCTTGTTCTGCCACCGAACCAGCCCCAAATAATACACAGAGACTCTGTATTTGATATTATGCTGTTGGCCAGGTGCTAGTTTCTTATTGGCTAGCTCTGTCTTAATTATTAACCCATTTCTAAGGTCTCTGATTTTTGTTCTGTCAGTCCTTTAGCAGAATAGTTAAGGCATTGCTTCCTGGCTATAAGGTCTTGGCTAAACTATTTAGCTTCTCTGAGCTTCAGTTTTCTCATCAGCATGAATCGAAAGGGTGACCTGGGGTGCAAGCTCAGTCAGCAAAGCGCTCCTCATGCAAGCATGAAGACCTCAGCTCGATGCCCACCACCGTGTAAAAAGCCAGGTATGGAGGCATGCCTTTGTAATCTTAGTGCTGCCGTGGTAGAGATGAGAGGATCCCCGGGATTCTTTAGCCAGTAAACCTTGACTAATTGGAGAGCCCAAGTTTCAGTGACAGACTCCCAACAAACAAGGCGCATAGCATCTGAGGGACAACCTGAGGCTGATCTCTGGCCTGCACGGCATGAGCACATAGACGAACCCTCACATGTGCATGTACACACACAAAGGAAGGAGAGAGCCAGAGGCAAAGGGAAGAATGTGTATGAAGTATCTGCACACAGCTTGTACCTGATTATCCGTGGCCGCCACGGATCAGCTGGGTTCGTCACTATGGATTCCCAGCTGCAAACTTCAATTTCATTAAGTTGGAGATGCCTAAAACTCTTGGAAATGGTACAAACATGAAAGAGGGGCGAGCCACAGCTTTCGGGGGGGGGGGGCAGTACAAGTGCAACAGAGTTAAATGTAGCGTTTCTCTCAAAAACTAATGGCAACCTAGCACTCAGGAGGCAGAGTTAGGCAGGTCTCTGAGTTCAAGGCCATCCTGGTCTACATAGTGTGTTTCAGGACAGCCAGAGCTACACAAAGAAACCCTGTTTGAAAAACAAAACACAAACAAAAACAAGAAAAAGAAAAAGAAAAAAGAAAACTAATGGAAAGAACCGTTGAACTGAAACTCCTAAAGAAAGACTAAGTAGTGACATAGAAAAGGTCATTGAAACCCAGTTCCCTGGAAGATCCTGAACAGGAAGTGACATGCATGAATGTGAACTGTGGAAGGAGTCACCGTGCGTCAATAGTGTGTGCATATAATTAAGACACTCCAAGTGGAGGCTGTGCGTTGAGTACTCTTTACCCTTCTTTGTGCCCCAGGTCCCCTCTCCTTCCTCACACACGTCTCATTTAATCAACTCCCAATAGAGGCTCATATCATCACGCGCATGTGGCTGCCTTTCTAAAACCCGCATTGTGATCTCATACCTAAATGTATCCAACCAATTTGCTGACCGGAGGAATTAATCCATCTCCAAACTTTTGCTGTCGTAATGAACAGCCAATGTATGTACACAGCTTTGAATGCATTGGTCTGGACAACAATGACTGGTGATGAAAATGCTTTGATAGGTGTTGCCTTTGATCACGTTGCCTTTTAATGGGGATGTAGGACTGAGCACCTCGAGAGTGCCTTTTTCCTACACTGTCATCAACAGGAGTTTAGCGTTTTGCCAGCGTGAATGGCTGTTATGCATTTTAAGGATTCAGAAAGCGCTGCTATACTAGTCATGTGTCCTAGGGTTGCATGATCAAGAAAGAGAATAGCCAGACCGGCATTTAGGTATGAGCTACTGTGTCTGGAATAAGAAGAGATTCTGGGTTTGAAAAGTGGGTGTTGGGACTCAAGAAGGGAGTTGGAATGAAAACACAAAGGGAAAAACAATGCCTGAAGAAGACAAACTCCTTGGAAAGGAGCCCATCTTCCCAGCTAAAGTTTCCAAAGCCAGTGAGATGACCATGCAGAGATAACGGCAAATGAAAGCACAGGACTGGAAAGAAAGTTGAATAAGAACCCAGGATGTGGGAGCTGGGGAGATGGCTCGGCGGTTGAGAGCACCGGCTGCTCTTCCAGAGGACGCAGGTTCAATTCTCAGCACCTACGCGGCAGCTCACAGATGTCTGTGACTCCGATTCTAGGTGACCCGGCACCCATAGCAAAACACCAATGCACATACAATAAAAATAAAGAAGATTGAAAAAAAGAACCCAGGATGTAAATGTGGGTGGTGCCTGGAAACCTGTTAATGGGAATGAGACAGTGCAGGGAAGAAAGCACGAGCTCTCGCTCCTGCCCAGCGTGGTGATGCATGCTTTAATTCCAACACTCAGGAGGCAGAAGCAGGTGAATCTCTGTGAATTGGAGTCCAGCCAGCCTGATCTACACAGCCAATTCCATGTCAGCCAGGGCTATATAATGAGACCTTGTCTAAAACAACAAAGATACCCTATAGTTTGCAGGCTTGAGAGATGCCAGCCTTGGAGTTTGCTAAGGAATTCTTTACCATTCGTTATTTTACATTTCTATATAGAATTGTTAAAAACTGACCTTAAACCCATTATACCTCATGACACACAGGACTGTCCATTCTATATAGACCCTAGCTTCTATATATTGTTCAGGGTTGCCTTACCCAAAGACAATGAGCTCCATACCTCCAAGCTTGTGGGTGAGGGAATCTGACAACCTCCAGATGACTTATCATGATCACTGAATGAGATGACGGCTCCAAAGAACACAACCCTTAACTGTGCTCAGCAAAAAGGCAAATACCCTTGTCTCTCTCACAAGTCATTCCTAGCTTCCCAGTGAGGTCACACACACACCTTTCCCAAGTTAGAGAATACAAATAACGACAGCAATACCCACAGGTGTCATTTCTGAGAACATATTGCCCTGGGGCAATATTTGAAATTCTCTTAGCACATCATTTCATTTTCTCTACTAGTACCAGTGGCAATCACAGAGAGACAAATACAGATGGATATTTCACAGCCTCTTTTGCCACATTCACATGAAAAATTGATGTTTTCATGAACTATTATGCAATGTGCATATTTGATACTCAGCAGCAATACCATCGACCCTGCCCAGCCAGTGCCTGGGACTTATGTGAAGGGTAGCAGTCTATATCAAATCCCAGGCAGGACTGCAGGGTCAGTGTAGTGTCCACTGTGGGGCACTTTCAGATTTTGTGTTCCCTCCACCACAATTAAGATTTCTAGACTGCTAACAAGCGATAGCTCTGCTTTTTGAAAACCCAGCATTTTTGTGTCTTTCCCTTATCTTCTGCTTACTGATAAGCAAGTCCCGGCATTGTGAAAGGAGCCACACTCTGACCTTGAAATACCGTCTCTCTCCCCAGTCTTCCCACAACTGGTGAAGGAGCTCAATGCAAGCCTCCATGTCACGATTCTGCTGCTCCTCTTCCTGGCCTTGGCCCTGGCTCTGGTCAGCATGGGCTTTGCTATTCTCAACATCATTCAGGTCCCCTACAGAGCAGTCAATGGCCCTGGTGGCATCTGTCTTTGGAATGTCCTGGCAGGTAAGAAGCCCCCAAGGGATGGAAACTGGTGTCCACACCATCCAGTGTTAACCAGGGAAACTTAAAGTTCCTGTTTGGGGCCCTTAATCTTGTTGATAGAAGAATTTAGAAACAGACTCAGAAGGAAGCTAAGGGGCATTTTTATTGGAGTTTGGGAGAAAAACAAGAGAGCAGACAAGCTGTAAATCAGAAAGTCCACGACTTCAAGGAAGCAGGCAGCTTCAGCAATGGAGGCCAGCAAGCTGCGTGGTGAAAGGAGAGAGAACCTTCAGCAAATGAGCGAGGAGGCCCACAGTGTCCCCAGAAGCGTGCTTAGGCCTCTGGCCAGTATCTAATCGTGCTAAAAAGAACTTCGGGCAAGTTACATTTTGCAGAAGAGCAGGCAGGCTGCACAAGAGGCTGCAGAAAAGAAGGGGCTGTGGAGAAAGGTAGGTGAATTGTCTTATAAAGGGGATAATTATTCCTCCCACCCCCTTAGACTTCCTAAGGGGAAGGAAAGGGTGGACCCCAAGTAGGGTGATTGGCAGGCCCAGCTAGATTAACTCTTAAACACAAGGGACGCTAGAATGCCATGTTTGGGGTAGTTTCAAATGGCAGATCTCCACCCAGGGCCAGAGGTAGAACTTAAATTCTATTCTTCTGACCAGGATGAAGTAGCTTTCCCTTAATGGGTCTCACCCAGGTACCTCCACCCATATGGTCATTTAGATCCTAAAGAGAATTTCCCTTTCCAGTATTATAAGAGAAACAGAAGTTAGGGTCCAAAGACAGTCAGGAAGAAGGAAGTTCAAAACTGACCATGAGGGAAAGGGTCCACCCTTAATGGCCTCTAAGGCCATCAAGTCCTGTGACATGAGTAGTTGGATAGAAAATAAGAAGAAGTTAAAATATTTGCTCTCCACCCTCACTGGCTCCAAACCCTTTGTGGAAATGAATGTTTTCTCTGCTGAGACAGTGTATGAGTATGTGTTCACATAGATTATATGAACACATTGAAAGTAAGAGTTACCTTCAGTTGTGTACTTAATATATCATCTATAATGAAAATAACAAAATCCTATGGGGGAAAAAGTACTGTCTCAGAAAATACAGATCAGATGGCCAAGGTTCACTATGGCAACAATCCCTCACCTCCTTACCCTTGTATAAGAGGACCATAAAGTGTAAACGCAGATACTGGTTTTGTAACATACATTGTAGCACATCAATTGTTAAGTGTTTGCTTTTGTGCACAAAGGCTAGCTACCCTGTGTAGTCACTAGGGGTGTCTTATCTCTGCACAGACTCTCATGGTGAAAAGTATGCAGTCCTACTCATTAAATAAATGCTTCTTTCTGTAGAGTCTACATGTCTAGAGTCCTAGGACTCTAATTAAGTGGTTCTCAACCTGTGGGTTATGACCCTTTTCGGGACCACATAGCAGATATTTACATTACAGTTCCTAACAGTTAGAAAGTAGCAGTGGAATAATTGTATAGTTGGGAGGGCATCACAACGTGAGGAACTGTATTAAAGGGTCGCAACATTAGGAAGGTTGAGAAGCACTGTTCTGATTCCACTGATGAGATCCTAACAAATAGGCTACCAGAAGAAACATTGTCTTTGAAGAATCCCATAGACTGGGCTTATGGAAAGGAAATGGAAGGGAAAACAAAAACTTTTAAAATCACAGAGCTACATCGCTGCAGCAGTTCATATCAGCTACAGTCCCAGAAGCAAGGCCATCAATTAAAAAAGCAGCCAAGGCTCCAGAATAAAACATTAACGGTGTTTTTAAAGCCATGCCCTTATAGGACAGCTAACAACCCAGGGGAATGCTCAAGTAAAAAGAAACCAAGTTTGCAATCAGATTAAGAGTTCTTTTAATTGTATTAAAAAAGAATGAAATATACTAATATGTACAAAGCATGCCTTAGTAGAGACCTCACAACTGCCAAGAGGCGCAGTAAGTAAAGGCGGCACTATTTTGGGTTTCAGGTGGAGTCGTGGCGCTAGCCATCGGGAGCTTCATGGTTGCGGTGAAATTTCATGACCTGACAGAAAGAATTGCCAACTTCCAGGAGAGGCTCTTTCAATTTGTCGTGGTGGAGGAACAGTACGAAGAGTCATTTTGGATATGCGTGGCGAGCGCCTCGGCCCATGCGGCAAACTTGGTTGTGGTGGCGATCAGTCAAATTCCCCTCCCAGAAATCAAGACTAAAATGGAAGAGGCCACAGTTACTCCCGAGGACATCTTATACTGATAACAGGTCCCAGCCCACACCTTGCTCTTAGTCAAGGGGGCCTCGTTTTTTCCAGCCTTCTTGATCCATAATGTCCCCTTTCTTAGTAGTTAAGAAGAAGGCTGTGGAGGGACTAAATGGGGGGCTGGACCAGAAAGGAGAAACTCCCAATGACCAGGATGTTTCTTTTTGATGACCTTTGAGCTGGACTGGACACTCTGCACTCATCAGCTGCGTCTGACACTGGACAATCCAATCCACTTATTAATTCTCAGTTTCCTCATCTGTCAAAATGGGGTAATAACGACTTTGCAGGCTTTGTTGTCACATCCCAATGGTGCTGTTGGGGACGCTACAAGCATGGTTCTCTGCAAACAAGGTCACATATACTCCAATAAGACTCGGTAGAGCTTGTCCTCTATAGTATCAGAGCTGTGCAAAGAAACTATGATCATGCCCTTATCCTCATGAAGTAATAACATATCCACATGACAGACGATTAGCAGCAATAACACTAGGGATGGCAATTAATTGTGGGATTCTGGGTGGCCACTGGCTTATTTGCTTGGTTGCTTGTCTCCTTTTCTTCTTTCTTTTTCCTGGTGGTACCAATCAATCCAAGCTTTGCCTATACGAAGCAGGTACTGTACAGCCACTTCATAAGTATTTGTCAACCTTCATGAACATCTTCAAAGCTTGGCCCATAGGACTGGCCTGTCCTCCGGGACTGCATATTCCATTCTCTCTTTGGAATATACACTTCACTTTGCTTTGCTAAGCAAATGCTTGCTTAAACTGTCTGTATCTCTTTCGTAAATCCTTTCCTTGGAGAAGACAAGAATCGAGAAACTTGCACCAGGTAACACCAATGGTTGAATGGATACTTGGGGATCCAGTCCAAAGGCAGAATTCTCTCTTCCTTAGGGTAGGTCGGTTTTTTCCATTAAGGCATTCAACTGATTGGATAAGGCCTTCAAATTTACAAAAGGTCAAAGGCAAACATTAACTTTGTCAAAAGTGTCTTCGAAGAAGCATTTCAAACTTGGACTGACAGTAAGGATTCAGGCATTACACTGGCCTGTCTCTGTCACTGGCAGAATGCACTCAGGCAGTATCCTGGTCAGCCCAGGGTTCCATGAGTACTGGTCAGCACAGCAGGTGCAAAGGACCCCTTTAAAAGAAAGATCTTCGCCCACTTATGCTCTTTTTCTGGCTCTTCTCTTTCTGCTCTCTCCTTCCCGCTGTTCCCCTGGGGCAGACAGGACTTTTCCTGTCTCCCTCTTCTCTTCTGTCCTCTCTCTGTCTCTGTGTCTCTTTACCTCTTTTCTCTTTCCTTCCCCCTCCCTCCCCTTTCTAATAAAAGGTCTCACTTAAGCTCTGCCTGCTGAACTCTGCCTGCAGTGTTTGTCCCCCGCCTAGGTCACCCTCGCCTGGAATTCGCCAAGGTGCCCCACACGAGGAACCCCCTCAAGCTTTATCCTAACACCGACCACATGATGGTGTTGGGCCAGACTTCATGTTGGCTGTTTCACCACCTGATTACCAATGTGACAAGATGATACCACACAGACACCCTGGAAATTCAACACCGAGAGACAATTCCCACCACCACTTCAATTATATTTCGGTTATATATTCTATGATATTTATAGCTAATTTCTTGGATTTTTAAAACTAACATAAAAACATGGTGTGCAATTGTTTTTCCTAGAGCAGTTTTTGGTAGGGGGTACTGCAGTCAAAATGACGAATGACTATCCAGTGGAAGCAATCTTTCTTTTGCTCTTGAACTTTTGGGGAAGAACACACATTGGTTGTCATGCATTTTTTTCCTCAATCTTCAAAGACTTCAACAGGTCAGAGGCAAAGAGCTGTGAAGAGATAGATGTTCATGGGAACAGCAGGCTTCTTGCTACTGCTGGAGAGAGAAACACACTGTCCTCGGGGAAGTCTGTGTGTGCTGGGGATGCTCCTCCTAGATGCCACCTACACGACCCAGCTGTGTTGACTTCTGCTTCTGAAGCAAGCTATTCAGAGTTTTGGGCTGGTTTTAAGAAACAGTGTTTCTTGTGTTATGGGCACCAACCCAACCCAACACACACACACACACTTATTTTTTTTTTTAATTGAACCACTTGAGCATTGAGTGCAGACATCCCTTACCCATAACTACTTCAACCTGTCTCTCCTGAAAACTAAATAAATACAAGTATAATGATCAAACTCAAGAAATCAGTGTTGCCACATTTCTGTTCTCTCAGCTACAAATCTCACTCCAATTTTCTGGAGATCCTAACTCGGGTCCTCAGACTTACATATTAAGCACTACAGCCACTGAGTCAACCCCTCAGCTCCTCAGCTGTGGTTTTTAAATATTTTCTCCTGATGCAGGGCCCTGGTTATATTTTGGCTGTGCATCTCTTTCATGCCCTTTCAACTAGGAAGGCCTTGGCCCATTGTTGTTGATGACCTTGTGTAATAACACCGATTTCCTTAATAGAATTTCCCGCAGCTTAGACTTCCTACTATTCACCTTTAGACTTAGATTGCATTTTTGGCACAGGTCAGAAAAATGATTTGTGTCCATCCTACAGAAGACCCACAGAGCCCTCGACTCCTATTCCTACTGGTGCTGACATTCGCAGAGTGGTGCAGACATATTTCTTCACTGTAGTTACTACGTTTCTCATTATAATTAGTATTATATGTATGCAGAGGCTTCAGATTCAGTACACATGCTGGTGGCTCCCAAACACCTCAAAGTCCAGCTGCAGTAAATCCATCACCACCTTCTGGACTCTGAGGACAACTATACACTCGTATCACACCCCATACAGACCACATGCACACATATAATTAAAAACTACATAAAAAATAAAGTAGATGAGTCCATGGTTTTCAGTATATTTGTAGAATCATGTAGCATAACCATAGTTTTGGGGCATTTACATAACCCTCCAAGCAAATCTTGGATTCAATAGTTCTCTCTCTCTCTCTCTCTCTCTCTCTCTCTCTCTCTCTCTCTCTCTCTCTCTGTCTGTCTGTCCGTGTGTGTGTGTGTGTGTGTGTGTGTGTGTGTGTGTGTGTTGCATAGACCTTAGCAATCACTCATTTTCCAGATGTTTCCACAGATCTGACTATTCTGGACATTCCAAAGAAATACAATAATAAGCGTATGATTATATGGTCATAATTTTCCATTTAGCCTAATGTTTGCACAGCTCGTCTATTGGTATAGCACTATACCTCAACCTTTTGTCCTTTGTAGGTAAACCTTCACAGTATTCCCCGTCTATAGATCCACCATGTGCTTATTTTTAGTCTATACTCTCAACATGAAAAAAAAATCAAACCTATTTGTGTATGTGTGTGTTTTGGTTGTGAGCCTAGCCTTTGAACAGCGGAGTCATCTCTCCAGCCCCCTATTCTTTTTTGTACATCTCTGTCATTCTTGAATTCTTTTAATGGCTCTGTTGGTATCAAGTCCCATGACATCAACCCCCTGTAGTGGAAACTTCCAGGCTTCTCACATCGGATAATACCATCAGTTCCTGTGACCTCTTGTTTAGGCCATTGTTAAGGAGGAATCAGTTTACAGAATCTGAGCCAAAAGGTGACATGTAACCATAGCCGCTTTAGGAGCCAATTGTTACTTCTTATTGTTGAATGGGGGTTTTATCTCTGGGAAACTAAGACTCATTGCAAAGGCTGATGAGCCAAGACAGTCAGCACCCTCGTCTGGGCTCCTCCCCTAAAAGAGGTGGGTGTCATAGTCATTGTTCTCCACAAAGGGCTGATGTAACAAAAGTCAAAGCAAAGGAGCTGTTTCCTGCAGAAGGAACAGCCTGGGCCATGAGCGCTCTACTGCTTCCTTCTTGCTTGCACCTGTGTATCTCAAACAGATGTGGGCTAGTTTTTTCTTCTTGCTGGGGAACATTTCAAATGTATTTAAAAGCATGGAGACTACAACAGGGCAGCCCGTGTGTTGATGAGCACGTTTTAAGATTGTCAGCTTGATCCAATCATGCTTGAGCCAAACCTTGAACCCCGTCCCCCATGCCCCCCCCTTTAACAAGATGATCGTAATGAAACGATGCAAGGTGTGTGCATCACAGGATCTGCCTCCCTGAGACCCAACTATTCCAGCTTTCCCCTCCGTAGAAATCTTGGGAGCATTAACCATCCCCATCGTACCGCTGGGCCCTGGGGACACACAGATGAATATGACATTGTTTGGAGGCAGAAGCACAAATAATTCATTGGATCATAACAAAAGGTTTGGCGCAGGACCAGCCCCATCCTGACACAGGCTTGCTCGGGCAGTGGTAGGTTTATAAATAACATCATTAGCAGCAATCACATGCGGGGCCAGAGAGAGTTTCTAGGGAAATTGCTAGTGTGGAAGTGTTTAGCTGACATTGTTTTCAAAGTAGGAAAGGGATGGGCACAGTTTTTACAGCAAGATTGGGGTTGAGCAAATGTGAAAACAAGGCCACTTCCTTGAACTTGGTCAGGGGTACTGGGCACAACAAATGTCCCCTAAGAAATGCCTGCTAACAGCCTGGATGAGGATGGAGAAAGGTAGGGAAGGAGATTTGGCAATTCAGATTGTTCTCTTGGATAACCAACTCCGCATCAAGGTAACAATCACAGCTAACTAGGAAAACAAGTGACATAATCCCATGCACTTATTTCTGATTTCTCTACAGCAAATCAGAACTAATTTGTTTCATGAGTTGAAATGGCGGATCAGAAAGAAGGTAGATAAGACTCGAGCTTTTAATATCTTGTTAACATAACTATGTAACGGATTTAGCATTGTGTGATAGTATCACAAATGTATGTGTTGTCACTGTCATGGCAAAAATGAATTCCTGACACGAATTCAGAATAATTCATGAGTAATTCTGATGTTAAGCACTTGTGAAAACTGAAGTACTACAACAGACTTCACCACTAGGGGGAAGCAGTCTACCAGCTATCAACTCATTATCCTTCATGCCTGGGTTGCAGGAAGGATAGCCTTCATGGCTGGTTGACCAATAGACATTAAATCACAATTCTAACATGCTAAATTCCACTTTCCAGGCTCGGCTGAGTAAGAAATACCCTTTTCACATCTTATGCACTATTTCTATGTATATTAAGGGGTCATTTCTCAGGGTGTTGTTGTGTCCTGGGAACAGAAAAAGGTTTGTAGAGAT